CCATTACCTTGAACCTGATATGGACTAGTGTTTATTTCTATATTAACCCATTGGTTGCAAGTGACATTTTTCAAGGTCATATTGTTATGATCAAGATATTACTGTTTTTGTTGCAATAACAGTAACAATAAATAACATTCTATTATTCATGTAAATTTACACATTTTTCTTATTCTGTAATATACCCTACACCACTGGTAACAAGTCGTCAGAAATTAGTTCTTAAACATGGTGACAGTTCTCCCAGACATGGCTAACGGATAGTAAATTTCTCAGTCTTGGATTGGTGGGAATCCTGCATAGGTTCATGAACAATTCCCTTCCTGAAGGCTGAGTCAATTTCACTCTTAAGTGTTTTGTACATCACTCAACACGGCAAAATTTCCCATGACGAGATATTCCCATTGCCCACACCTCAATCAAATTTTTTTTCATGACAAATTCATGTCATCAGAATCCAATAGGTTAAAAAAATGGCTAGTTAATAGTAACTTACCTTGTCCTCATCCATGTTAACAAATCTTTTAAGAGTCCGAGAAATTTTTGACTCTGTCTTGCGATCAGGCTCTGGCTGCAGTTCCGATTCAAATCTTCCAAGCTCATTAATGAATCCACAGCTCATTTTACTGTTAAGAAAATAAAACTACTTGTATCACATATGCATAAAAGAAAGAAAGAAAAAATAATAATAAAAAATAATAATATATATATATATTATAATATATATATATATATATATATATATATATATATATATATATATATATATATATATATATATATATATTTAAGACATGTTAAATTCTTAAAATCCTTGTAAGATCCTGAATAAAACAATATACTCCACAACGAGCCAAATCTTAATGCAGTAAGCCATACCTGAAATTCTTTCTCCTCCAAAGTGAATCTGGATCCGTAATCTGAGCCTCGTCAATTCTCATGGCACCATCCAAATTGTGAAAACGGTGCGTGGATGAAGTATCCATCGCCAGAAGAGTATTTTGCGAACTGATTCCTGCTCCCCCGTAGCTACTGCTCTGCTCACTGCTACATGTGCTCTCGGAGCCTGTGAGGAAAGATAATGGATCCACACTGCATTTTCAGATAGATTAAATGTAAAGAGATGAAATGGAAAAAAATATTTTGCTAAAGAGGATAAAGAAAGCACAGTAAAAAAAAAAAAAAAAAAAATAAAAATAAAAAATAAAAATAAATAAAATAAAATAAACAATGCATTTTGGATCAACACACATTTAGGGTTTTATCTACAGTATCTGGTAGACCAGAAATCCACTTTTCCATAATAAAAGCTTAAAAAAATTACCTTGTATCCCATGTGTGGGGATCATCAACGATATGCTAAGCAGTAAAGGTGTAAGGCATATAGCTGATGGACAGAATGAATTGTTGGGAGCTATAGTCCACCAAACACAAAGTCAATTTATATTTTCAACAATATTACTGACAGAATGATACATTGTAAATTTACTTTATCTCTCAGTTTATTGACTCTAAATGACTTCTGTAAAACAAAATTTCAGTATTAAAGCTATGAACTATGATCAAAATTATGTAATTGTAATCGCTCTACCCCTTTTACATAACAACAAAATCCGAAAGCAGCAAGAGAATGAACAAAGCTTCCCCCTTTCCTGACAAAGGAAAAATGTAATTCATGAATTTTAAAATCCATGAAATCCCTGTGGTAAGGAAGTATCTTCCATAGAACAAAAATTACATGTGGAAATCACTGAGGATCTGTGCAATAAAATGCTGAAAATGTTGAAAAAAGAAAAGAAAATAAGAAAGTTGCACTGTTAACACACACTGTTGTCAATATGTTTTTACTTTATCCTGACAAAGAATCCTGGATTTAAAATTTCTGATCAGCAATTAAGCTGAACCTCAGATGTGACTATTTACTTTCCCCAAAACAAGCTAGGATTATGTGTGGAAAATAAAAAAAAAAAAAAAAAAATTTGATGAATAACCTTTCCTTGGACAAAAATAAATGCAAGTAAAATTGTATGACCAAGAGTATCTATATCTTTCTCCCCAAAGTGTATACTCTCTTTCCCCTGTATCTAGCAAAAGTATTTATATACAGTACACTTCCCCCCCTTCCTCTTTGAAAGCAAAGTACACATAAAACCCCACCCTCTTACTGAGCAAAGAACAAATATACTGTCTCAATCTTACCTAACAAAAACATGTTGCCCAGGGCCTTTATCCAACAAAAGTCCATATGTATCCATGTCCCCTTTATTCAGCAAAAGTGCACATGTAATCGTCTTCCCCCTTCCCCACGAAAAAGTACACATGTATCCCCTCCCTCTCATCCAGGCAAGTACAAGCAGCCCTCTTTCCCCTTACCAGCAAAAGTATAAATATATCCCCTCCTTCTAACCCAGCCATGTATATGCATCCCTCACCCTTGCACAAAGCATACATATACTCTCTCCTCCCCCTTACACAAAGCACGCATATACACTCTCCTCCCCCTTACACGAAGTCCACATATACACTCTCCTTCCCCTTACAAAAAGTACACATGTACACTCTCCTCCCCTTTACAAAGAGCACTTATCCAACTTTTGACATATGAGTATAACTGAAACAAGCAGTGGAAGTATTATCAACTGACAAACATGACAATGCACAAGCAAAGAAAAGCATTTACCTGATCTCTTTTTGCGGCCAAGCAGTTCAATACTTGTCTTGACTGTATTAATCAACTCACTCAGGTACTTGATGTGAAGACTGGATGACAAATAGCCAGGAAGGAAATCCTGAAAGACAAGATTATACAAAATACACCTGAATAAACAGTATAAAATCATCAGAGGCCTTGATTAAGAAATATGGTTACTAAAAGTACTGGGGAATTTTTAAGATATTAATGTACAGTTGTGAGTATTTTTAAGCTCTGTTATCATTATTTTATATTGTCAAAGAAGCATTTCATGCACATATGCATTATGATGGAAATACTTTCAATTGCCCAATTCATAAAACAAAGAAAATTATAATAACCTACACAACAAAAGGTTTACTATTACAAGAAACAAATTGTCTTAACTTGTATCTTAGTATATAAAAAAAAAAGAAATGAGACACCATTTTTCTACATACTAACATTAAGATAACTTCTTTTGCATGAAAATACAGATATGTGGGGTACATGTATCTGAACTATCATTTTTCACAAATTACAATTTCATACACCTATACATCTGAACAAAACCAAATTTCTCATTTATCAGCTGAAAATAAAACAGGAAGACCAACAGAGAAGACAATAAGAATGCATCTCCAAAAACCCAGCTACACTAAAGAACAAATACAATTTTCATTATGATACCATACACACACACACACACACACACAAATACACAGAACAGTGAGTGCCTTCCCAAGAGTAAACACAACCAAATTACAATAGAGACAAGAACAGTAATCAAATCAAAATAACATATTACCCTTTCTAGAACATGCAGAACCACTCTGAGGGGCAAATTAAAACAGGATGGCAGGGGTCCCTCCTCACGGCAGATATTGCTTTCAACTTCAAATCTTACTCGGTCACTGAATCCTTGTGGACACGTTGCTTGCAGAGAGAAGTACCTGTGAGGTGGGGACATAACACTTCAGAAATATCTATTGCAATATTTTTTGTTTAACGACTCAAATTTGTTTAAGGAGAGCTATCAGGACTAGCATGAGATTAGGTAAATTTGCATCACTGGTTATGTTTAAGCAACTTTTGGCCACAAAAGCAAAGTCAAGGACCTTTTTTTTATTACAATTATAGCTAAAAAGCAAACAATACAAAGTTTTTCAATTGCAATAATTCAACTGAAATCTCTGTAACAGAACATGGTCAATATATTTTTTTCTCACATTCATTCTAGCTTCTGAAAATTACATTTTTGGTTACCTGTTCTGAACAGAAATCCCTTATTGTTAGATCATTAAAATATAAGAAGCATTCATCTCTCTAAGTACATTTCATCACTGTTTACAATATTTATGTACTGTACTGGTTAAATACACTCCTTTTCACATATTTCATATCAGTAAATCTAGTTTGTCCACTGTGGGGTTTCCTACCACACATTCTAAGTACTAAGTAATGTTCATTGACCTCTGGGGGATTGTTTTTACATAAAATAAGGAATTATTTTTCAGATATCAAGACAGTGAAACCAAATATATATCATGAAGTAAGTAATACAGCCACACTTCATGAATAGAAAACTAAGAAAGAAAAAATAAACAACTAGCTGATATAAAGTAGGATTTTTTATCTCCTATTCATCTCTATACTCCTCTTTTTCACTCACTTGTCATACAGGACCATCGCATCTGCCTGTGCTTGCTGAGGATCGTACATGCCAGCATGCTCAATCAGCTGCTGACGGAAATTTGAAGCTGCAACCCACAATTGCAGCATTTGCCTTCCTCCTTCCTGCTCCACATACTGAAATAAAAAATCAGCACTGGTGATTGCTGAACTGCAATTCTTGAAATTGATAGCAGTTGACAATGGACTGAAAAGCATCTGCACAAAGGAAAATTATTTTAGAAGTAAGCATAACCCACAATATACTGTATAACATAAATATTCATTACACATCAATGTTATTTCCTCTCTATCTTGATAACAACAGCCTCCTTATTTGAATGTATAAAGATATACAGAAAGTATAACATTTGTCTTCCAATACTGCGTGCTCTTACCTCCATGAAGTAAGGAAATGCCGAATCACTATATAGAATGTCTGCCAAACGCACAGAGCCACTGGTGAGAACATCAATCTGGTGTTTGAGGTAGTAGTCACTTGCAAGAAACTTTGGGAGGTATCTGGAAAAAATAATAAAAAATAAAAATGAGCATTCTCAAAAGTCATTCTTATTTCAGGCCTACCAGTTTCTTCATTCTAATATGCCTCACTGGACATCCAACAGCAGCTCTTTAAAAAGACTTAATTCAGTAAATCAAAGAAAAAGGCTTAACAGATGCACATGGTGATGAGGATCTGAAAAACTTTTGAAGTTAAGGGCTTGCATCATTTTCAATACTTTCTGCCTACCAAATTTCACCCTATATGTGTTACTGCAAGATTCTGTTCTCCCATAAACTGATTCAAATTCTGCACATCAATTTTTGCAACTGAATCTGTGTTTTATCTGTCTGTTCTGTTAATATGAAGTTAAACCCACCTATGCTAACAACTAGGTGATTACTAGGTGCACTTCAAGTCTTCAGTTTCTCAACTGAATTTGTGTGTGAGCTTGAGTTACTTTAAATCAATCTGGTATCCTGTAATACTTTAAAATCTGCATTTAATCTTGAAAATATAGAAAAGACAGATCATGGGTAACAATTCACAAACATCACCTTAAATTCCTGACTCTACTGGTATCCCTTGTCAAAAATAGGATTTTCATCATGCAAAATGCCTCCTTTCTAGAAATAAATTGAATTTAGAATTTCTACACTATCAGGGCAAGGGACAGGTAGTACTGAACAAACAGAAATGGATTATCAATACTCACTCTTTTTCTAGGACACCAAATACTATTTTCTGTGCAGGAACAAAGCACTCAGAATCAATGTCTTCCTGAACCACAGAGATCTTTTGTAGGATAACCTCTCTAATATCATCATCTAGACCAATAGACTGTTCTGCATCCCTTGCTATGTACTTGTTGAAAATCTTCATGGCATCCTCTGCTATGCTTTGTCTAAGTTTCTGAGCCCTTGAACATACTGAGGCACTTGGACTTGAAAAACCTCTTGTATCTTTTAGAAGAGGTTTTGCTGTAATAACACTTTCACTTCCAACTGGCTTTGTATTGCTTTCTTTTACACTATCCATATGATTGGGTAATATCACACACTTCTCATCACTAGCTTTCGGGTTCCCTTCAGAAGTCCGAGCATCACAGTTCAGCACCTTGCTAAAGCTCCCATCAGGGCTATTCAGGGGAGTAACATCATTAGCATGTTTAATATTACTTACTAAATCAGGTAAGACCAATCCTTTATCTCTAGATTGTATCCCTTCCTTTGGGCCAAAGCTTTCTGTCCTTGAATTTGAGCATGACTGAGTAGTGTAATTCTCAAATATTTCACTGACTGTCTGTTTTTGCTTGTTTTCCGGGTCTGTACAATTACTATCACTAAAATCTACATAAGATCTATCGCTAGTTGTGGAAGTTGCTATGTCGGATGTTATATGAACATCCTGGCTCCGTATGCGAGTCACTGCCGCAGCTCTGAAGCTGGTAGCATCCAGCCAAAACCTTGCATACTTCTCAGCACCCCAGCCTTGCAAAAACTGCAAGAAGTATGGCAGAGTGGAGTGGCTATCGAGGATATCTTCTACAGTCTTTACAAACTGTGATTGTATTTGCAATGGATCCACCTTTTTCTCCCCTGGAAAAATGTAATGAAATTTTGTTTTAATCATTTGTACAAAACAATTTAGCTAACTAAATATTGTGTACCTTTTATATTCTCAAATATCCTACTTGGCCATCCTATTTGGCTAGTTTCTTCTCACCATCGCAGTTACACAAAAAATTATCAAAATTCTTTGTATCCTTACCTAATACCACTTAGTATAAGTGGTTATTGAAAAATAGCCTTTCTCTTAAGGAAAACATCACAAAATCCTAGACTCAACTAAACCTGCAATTTGCTATGGACTAACTTATGAAGTCATTAACTACCCCCAGTGTAAACACTGTTAAGCAGCTACTTTTAGGTGTGATTAAGCTGTAAAAAGTATAAGTATCAAACTATATCTTCCATAAAAACATGACAATGTGTATTGTTATTTTTATTACATTGGCTGCCTAATACGACAAAAACACACAAAAACATTGTGTTCACATTTGCAACATGATCAACCTGTGTCTACATAATGCATACATACTGCAAAACACACTCACTAAAGATATGAGCCTTCTCACCTGACTCAGACATGAACAGGTCTTCATCAGCACGTGTAACGAAGCGGATGTTACTAGATGGTGTCTGCTGTGAGGGAGGCGATGAGGTCACTTCAGCACCCTGGCATACTTCAGCTCCCCCCTGATAGGAAGAACTGCTAGCAGCCGCTCCGTGGCCCGTGTGGTTCGGGCTCCCTCCCCCTGACCCTCCTCCTGTGAAGAATAAGGGCTTTATGCACTTAAAGTACAGATTTTCTTTTCACTAGTTCTCACTGCCATCTGGAGGATGTCAATTTTTTAAAAATATAGGCTAAATTATAGATGCAAATGTGAAAACACAGGCTGACTAATTTATTCATACACATGTAAGGTTATATGCATAAAATTCTACAATGCACTCAAAAGCTATATCATTTGAAAAAATCATGAGCTTAGTCAACAGTATTAAAGTATAATATAAAATCAAGATCATCCATTCAGCTTAAGTCACCATTAGGAGGGGGAGGATGAAATGGAGGAAATGAAGGAAATAGAAAAGGAGAAGGAGGAGGAGAAGGTGGAGGAGGAGGAAGAAGATAAAGAGAAAGAGGAGAAGGAGGAAGAAGAAGAAATATCAGAAGAGGAGGAAAAAGAACAGGAGTAGGGGTAAGAAGAAGAAAAAAAAAAAAGAAAAATGGAAGAGGAAGAAGTGGAAGAACAGGAGAAGAGAGATAAGGAAGAGGAGAAATAGAAAAAAGAGGTAGAAGAGTGAGAGAATTCTGTTAACAGAGGGCAAAATTATTAATAATAAACAGAGATCACTTTGGAAAATGTAGAAAATGGTGCAAATGAGAATTTTGAAATTAAAAATACAAATTCTGATCAATATATAATATCAATATGTATATAATGAAAGCCAAGCCATCACTACTAACCATATAGGTCAGCTGAGTCACCTTAATAAAGCATCAGCTTTTAAAAGGTGTCAAGTTTTTTTCCACCTTTATTTCAGTGTGAATGGGAAATACATGTAAATCAGTATAGCTGGAACTACTTGGCATCTTTTTTCCAGCCTCAAGGCCACACATACCTCTCCCTTCCCCACCTCTCTAATTTTTACCCATTGGGTCTACTCCCCATCCCTCTAATTTTTACCCCACTGATTTCTTTTCCCATCGTTCTACACTTTACCTCATTGGGCCTTCTCCTCATACCTCAAATTTTACTACACTGTGTTTCTCCTCATCCTTCTAAATTTTACCCCATTGGGTCTTCTCCTGTCTCCTACCTCTTTTCCCACCCAGTACATACACTTTAGGTTAATAGACTGCTTGTAATATTTGGTGTGTATTTATAGTAGTCTTATGTGGAAAGGTATGAATGAGAACGAATATCTTCACAATACAAGAGATGTATTTAACCGGTTTCGATTATATCTTCGTCAGAAATACTATTATCCCTACAATTATGATCATTATCATTACTATCATTATCTTTATCATCATTATCATTAATATTGTCATTTAATTTTGTTACCATTAATATCAGAAATAAAAACAAAGACTTTTCCACTTGAAAACTGAGGTTACGGGTGAACTCATTTAGGCCTAGTAACTGGTTCCTTTAAGACTAAGCATCTGTGCTGTCTATGCATAACCAAAATGAATAGTAATTCTAAGTAAGACAGCCGCGTTGATTTGTTATGTTTTTTTTTCTTCTACCCCTTCAATCTTGGGGGACCCATGGAGAATCGGGGTTGAAGGGGGGGGAACACATACACTGGAGAAATAGTGGAATCAAAAGTGAAAATTTGGGGGGGTGGGGGAGTGGAATGCATGAGTCTGGCACTGCTGCAAGATGCTCCAAACCGGTGTCGGTGTTACCGAAATCCTGATGAAATTTGTTAATCTAACCTAACCTAACCCAGACCTCCTTCCCTGGAATATTTCTCTACTAGGGGCAAGTCCCCAGACCCTTTTCCCTGGGGTACTTCCTTACCCCTTTCCTGGGAGTATTTCGCCATACAAATGAAGCATACCTTCCTAACTCCCAACCACGAGCAAGCCCCCGGACCCCCTTCCTTGGGGGTATTTCCCTACCAGGGGCAAGCCCCCGGACCCCTTATCCGAGGAGTAATTCGCTGTACTTTTCAGAAGGCTCACAGTATTGTTTACATTCAAGACGGTTCAAGACAATGAAGTTTGTGGATTTTTTTTTCTCTTAGGGCGTCTTCTGTACGTGCCATAAAAGTTAATCCAGTATTAAAGTTTAATCCAGATCTCTTGCGCACATGCGCGCTGGCAGCATCCAGGATCAACTTTTATGCACCTCTTGACCAGGCTTTAATATTAAGCTCATTTTTTAATCCTGCACACGTGCAGAAGGGACAAGTTAATCCCACCAATCATGTACTGTTACGTCATATATCCGTCATGAACTTCATGAATGCCATCGCTTGAGTTGCCATTCAGAGCTATTTTCGGCAATAACATCAATCATCCTAGACTTTTCATACTTAGTATTTATTATGAAAATGAAATTATATATATTTACACAAATTATCAAATATTCTGATAAAGGAAATAACTTATGGCAATGAATATAAAAAACAATATAATCCCACGAGGAATCTTTGAAGTTCAGAGGCTGCGAGCATGGAACTCATATTTCCAGGTTAGTGAAACAAAAATTATATGGCCAGGGTCACAGCAGTTGACGTTCTAAATCAAATATAAACCAGTGCTTTAAAGAAGAATTATGTGCTGAGTTTTTCTCAACTACTTTACTACAAAATTAACAAGCATACTTTTCTATGGACCTCCTGAACAGTATCATGAAGAAAACATGTTTCCCTCATCCAACATGATTCAACGCATCAAAGAGCTGTCCGAGGAAACTGCACGATGGATATTATTTGGTAAATGTCTTTTTGTACTTGAGTGTCATTGAAATAAAGATTGGTTTTATAGTTGTCAGAGCAGTTTCGTTACCCATTTTACTACTATAAATATAAGATCATTATCATGAAAAAAAAGAATATTTCATAAATAATCATGTTTCCTTTATAAGTAAGCCTACTTGTCCCTCGTAATTATCACATGAAGATCAAACTGCATCTTGGGTGTCTGACTACAACTTTCTATAACAACCACCTTTTCTCCTATCTATAAAAAAGGAATATCGGTTGTCAGAAAAATCTTTTAACAATGCAGTGTCTCAATGCAAACTGCAAGGTTTATTTATCCAAGTAAATTTTATATCGGACTGCAAATCTTAAGGTAATATCTTTAATACTGTCTTCTATATCATATGTGTAAGGACATGAAGGGTGAATGTTGATTAGATATCTTTTGGATGATTTTGTTCCTTATTTACATGTATGAGTGCACAACTTGCTCCAAACGCTACCCTACACAACATGCAACAGTGAAAAGAGAACATTGCACAGAAATGTTTCAAAATACCACAGATTGTTCAGCAATAAAAAGACAACATACCTCAGCTCCCACCCTTTAGATTTGTAAAACCTATTCACACACCCAGAAATACGAGACCAGGATCTTCACATCAACAGCAGAGGGCAGAACCATCACTATCACAGACCAGAAACATCACAAGAATTGATAGAAATTTAAAGAGACAGTCCATTAACTTAAGATTCCAAACAAATCATATTTGAAACAGATAATCTTGAAGAAATGTGTACAGAAAATAGAGGTACGAACTTTTTTACTTTGATATGATGCTAGTCTTAGTTTTCAATTTTGGGAACATTGGGAGGCATAAAAAATTGATTAATGATATGAATAAGTTTTTAATGCCTTGTCTTCAATCATGTAGGTACGTCTGGGATGAAGGGAAGGAAAAGGTGGTCTTCAGAAGCATCTGAGTTTATATTATTATTTACAGAACACTTTAAACAATTAGGAGGCAAAGCAGTGCAGAGATAAAAGAGGCATAAGATAATTAGCATTATGAAAACATTAGTAAGAGTCTCAGTTTCATGAAATACACATTAAATATAATAGATATTTTGAAACCTAAGAGGTGTCTAAAATAGTTTCTTAAATATGATTACCAAAAACATGACATTACAAAAAGAAAGAAAGAAAAGAAAAACATGAAATCTCCCAAAAGAGCGAATTTCACGCGCGACATTTCTCTTCTCTCCGACATGTTTACATGATAACGGTGGTGATAGAATAGTGAGTATAACAGTTTTTACTGAACATTATTGTCGCGCCGTCTTGCAGCAGAGAGTGTCGTCTTCGGTACAGAAACAGTAGATTAGGATTAAACTAAATACAGTATTAAGAGTTAAGGACGCTACAGAAGACGCCCTTAGAGAGGCAACCTGAATTCCAATTCAAGCACAACCTGTGAGGTCCTCACAGTTTTATTAACTTCGCTGACATGTACAACCACTAGTCAATAATTCTATTATACTCTGCTCTGTATCTGTAGTGCATCTGCCTTAATGAGTATTGCCAAATGAATAAAATAAAACCACAACAGATAGCGCTGTATACACATAATCCTGGTATCATTGGACTAATAAGCTTTTTCAAGCCCTCTTCAGGCACCACAAGTCAACACAAATACAAACATATCCCATCTATAACATACAGTGACAAAGGTACAAATATTAATTTCCAGAATTGGTCCACATCTGAAAACCTATTAAATTTGGTATCAATGGACTCCTGTCGATATCTACTAGCCTAACATTGTAGTAATAGCCGGTGAGAATTAATAATATGAATGGTTACATACTTCCATAATTTGCACAATTTGGGACTGTGCATGCAGTGTGAGAAGTTTATCTCACACAGCCTCTACGTCATTTGGGTTGTGTCATTAGTTATGACGCACTTCATTCAGGTCTGTCTGAGCTTATCTTGCCGGTCAGATGTGGCGGAACTTTTGGACTTTTTCTGTATCTTTTTTCGACAAATTTCTCATTTTATTAAATTTTTGAGCAAATTGATAATGGTCAGATGATAATGACTGTTTCCACTTGAAAACCTTTCTGTCAACTTTTTCAGCCAAGCATAGTCAAATCAAGAGCTATATCTGAGAATGTCTGCAGATCGTGCTAATTCATTCTCCAGTCTGGGCATGCCTTTATGAGAAATTTCTCATCTGTCTGCACAAATGTAGTTCTTGGATAACTTTCAGCACACACTTAGTTATTTTTTAAATCATCTTAAATGTTGCACTTTAGTATGCAAAAAATTATGATGCATGTATGTGAAATAAAAACATGGAAAGAATGCCTTACAATTTGCACGCTATATCTGGACGACACATCCTTTTGAGTCGTGCCATAAATGTACTGCACGAAGGCTCAATGCACTCAATTTAGCACGGTATAGGTGGAGTTTCCTATACTTCATAGCCCTGTCCTTTTTTTAACAATCTAGTATGCAAGAAAGTATGAGCTAAATATATATCAAACAATCACATACATACAATTTCATTCTTGTAAACTGCACCTTGTTCTACTTAAATATTTTAACTAATAATGCAAAGTAATATATATAGACATATTCGTTTAGCAGTCACTACAATAGTGGTGGGCCTGTTCTTTACATATTTGTACACCTGTCTTCATGGGTATTTTAAAGGCAAAAAGTTTCCCAACTTGTGGAACCGCCAAGGGGGAGGGGACCCGTCACGAAATACTATGGCCACTGTATATACTACTACCAGTATCTACTACACCAAGTGGATTGCAATGGCACGCAACCAAATCCATGAATGATAATCTGCCGCCGAAAAGTTCTTATAATCTAGTATCATTATCGTTTAATACTAAATACACATAATGATAAATTTCCCGAGCAAAGGTGAATTTTTCCTTTTAAAACCCATCATTTTTTCTTCTCCCTCTTCGACTGTCTCACGACATCCTTTTCTACTCCAAGGCTGAACTTACGAAACTTCTTCCAGAGGGACGACATTTCGGGGAAATTGTCATAGACATTTCATATCTTTTTTCCGCGTTTCCTGTCCTCCTTCTACTTCAGCTGACCGAGAGAACAACAAATAGCAGTTATAAGGGACGGGAACTCGGCCTTCCGCAAAAGGGGTTCAGATACTCCGTCGGATTTTTAAAGCTCTCTGATTCTACACTTCAGATCTTCTCTTTTCATCCTTATCTGTAGATGAACCTTCAAGGGCTTATACTTGCGAATGATACCATTTCCGTCATAGATTAATATTATCGAGGGTATGGATAATATTTTATAGAGGTTATACTTATAATAGTAATGGAGGGACGATATGAGATCATAATTTCCCGAAAGCGATATGAGGTCACACCGTTTTCTAATTTCGTGGGTCACTCGGCCATTCCCATTTTCTTTTTCGTTAAGTTTAATAGAAAACGGAAGGCTGTACATACACCTTTGTCATTAATCAGCATTTTATTACTCATAGTCGCACACCGATTTCAAGGCCTGCAAGAATAAGGGTAAAGAGGAGTGAGGACTTAATGAGATTTGACGACCGAGGGCGCAAAGGCAGCCGAGCGCCAGCCACTGAAGTGTCGCCTGTGACAAGGGGCGCATGACGTCACGAAGAGGTGTTTGTTTTCCATTTTTAGCCGTGGTCGAGGCCTCGTCTCCCTCTAATTACTCCGCTTTCCTCGCTTGCAATGCCCGCCCCCTGTTCCTTCTCGGCCTAGAACACACTTCCAACCCCTCCGGCAGAAGAGGTGAGTCGAAATCCGCCCCAGGAGTGGCGAAAAGGGCGACATTTGAGTGGGAAAAGTTCAGATGCGGGAGAGAGAGAGGGCGAGAGAGGAGGGGCGACGCCTCGACTCTCGCCACTTCCTCAGCCTCTCATTCTCGGAAGTTGACTCACGCTCGGGATTGTAACTCGGCATCCCGTCGGCGTCACGGGGGAGTGCGGTGAGTCAGGTCCTACGAGAAGGAGCGCAGGAGAAGCTCCCGAGGACTTTACAGTGCGGGGAAGGGAAATTCGGGAGTCGTGGGAGTGTCTGTGTTGTGTGGGAGTGCGTGCGTGTAGGCGAAGGACCCCCTGCTCCTCCTCCACTCCTTCTGCTGCGGCTGCTCGGGTAAGGAACGCGCTGAGGACTCCCCTCGCACGTGCTTTGTCTCCGCTCGATTCCCGAAAGCACAAAAGCCCAGGGTGAGGATCCTGTTCGGGGCTCTGAAATGCCCGAGGTGGAAATGACGAAGGAGTGCCAGTGGCTCGGGTCGCCAGCAGGAGAGCGAAAGGGAAGGGAAATTTATGCAGTGCCAAAGGAATGCGATGGTGGGATCATGCCTTTTTTGAGCTCGCTGGCCTTTCCATGAAGCCTTGTTGTACGTGTGGTGGTGATTTCGGCTGGGAACACCTGGTAAAGCGCATTTTACAAGTGATAAGAAGCTAGATTTATTGATTTGCAAGTGGTTTGTCTTTGCTATAGGTGCCTGGCCATGAAATTTACCCAAAATCATCTAAGTAATGCAGAATGAAGATTTTGATTCAGCAAGATCGTTCATAATGTGATGTAACTTCTTTTTATTCTTCCATATACAGAAGTGCCTCCTTATTATCAGATTGAATCACTGAAGGAATTTGTATAGCAGTACTAATTCTGTGGTTGAAATCCCATTCAAAGAGGATTAGTTTGATATTAAAACAGCTTGGAGGATAATGTTGAAAGGGTCTATGGGTGTTAAAGAAGCGTAATGTGTAAAGTAATAAGCTTTTTGTGCTAGACTTTTAAGGAATTTGTATAGCAATATTAATTCTGTGGTTGAAATCCCATTCAAAGAGGATTAGTTTGATATTAAAACAGCTTGGAGGATAATGTTGAAAGGGTCTGTGGGTGTTAAAGAAGCGTAGTGTGTAAAGTAATGAGTGTATTGCGCTAGACTTAATTTTGGATGTTAAAACATTATATATTTTATTGTTGCAATAACAAAGAGGATGTATCCAAAGGCATTTATTCTTTGTGGTCTTGTATATTGAAAGCAAACTTGCCAGGAGTTGAATGAAGATATAAGCCTAAGTTAAAGTCTGGAAATTCGAAGGATACAGTGGCAGCAG